GTTGTGATCCTGCATGCATTGCAACTGGGTGACAGCGGCTGGTTGTTTAATGTGTATGCGCCTTGTGGGCACGATGGGCTATCCTTGTGCAGGCCTGCCAGCTTGCAAGCTGCAGCTCCGGCAAGACTCGCAGAACCAGGACCTGTTCTTCTTTGAGCCCATGGACACTGTCAGCGCTGCAGCTGCCACAAGTGCTGGCGTGAACAGCATGTTCTTCCTGGACCCCGAGGGCAGGCAGATAGCTGAGCTGAAGAAGTGGCTGGACCTTGCCGAGGATGAGTACTGTATGGGGAGACCCATCCGGCCGCTGTTCATCAACGGTCTGGTCAAGGTGGGATATAACGGCCTGACCAAGGACGGAGAGCTCCTTGTGCAGCTTGTGTCCAACCCACATGGAACAGGGTTTGGAGTGAGAAGATTAGGCGTGGTAGATGGGTGATGCATGCAGCTTTGTGCACTATTGAGTAATGCACAGCTGAGCGACCAAGGGGAATGCACGCTTACCATCTTGCGCCCATCTTGTGCCCGTTGTGCAGACTGGCAAGTCCTACATGCTCAAGGAGGTTCTGCCTGCTGTGGCCAACACCTACTACAGCAGCGGTGGCAGTGGCCAGCAGCACGCTGGCATGGTGCTTTCAGAGCCCAACTTCCTGCACGTGAACTGCTTGGGCTGTGATCGCAGCAGCGGCATCAGTGGCTTTCTGGAGGCTTTCCTCATTCGACTCAAGCGGAGCGCCGCCAAACAGCAGCTCTCTGCTGCCGCCAGCACACCTGCACCCAGCAACAACTCGGCTAATGCCGTACAGGACGCCATTCAAGACTTCATGGAGCGCCTGCCACGGGACCGCCTGAACTTCCTGCTGGTTGACGAGGCGCAGAGTTTTTACCTGCTTGAGCGGGCCATGCCCGGCAAAAAGTCGCCCGGCAAAAGTCCGCGGCGAAAAGTCGCTGTACGCGGCTCAACACTGGACAAGGATGCAGTGCGGCACATGCGGCGGTAAATCAGCACAAGGTTTCCCTAACCGTGTCGTGTGATCACATGGGCGAGGATGAGGGGCAATGGCCAGTGAAACGCGCCCAGGTGGAGCTTCACACGAGGGGCAGAAGGCACTAAGGGGAGATCGCTGCGAGATTCAATTGTACGACAAGCATATTGCACAAGGGGCAGAGGTCTGCACGCATGCCTACAGCAGGCGTACGACACAAAGGAGCTGACACATGGACCATTTTCCTTCCCTCAACTGTCGTGTGTACTGCAGCATCTTCAAGGAACTCCTGCTGGACAGCCCCCACTGGGTCGCCTGGGCCGTCACGGGCAGTTCCATGGCGACGCTATGGGCCAATGTTGCAGTCACCCCGGTGAGCAATTGGTGTTGCAGCAGGGGGGGTTTAGGCTCTTCTGGGGGGACGCATATGCTTTATTCTCAAAGAGCTAGACGGGAGCATTCTATATCTGCTTTCAGAATGCAAATGGACCCAGGAATACATAAGTTATTGGTCCCCAAAGTTGGTTGTACGGCAGCGTGTGGGGTGGTGGGTCCGGGGCTCTGGGAACAATGTCGAAGGGGTCCCGAAAGAACGTCACCAGCGGCTAAAACGTGCCAATATGGACATCAATCGCTTCACCTTGACGAGATCCATTGATTGAGCTAGTCTGCTGTGATGCTAGGGAGGTTAGTTGATGTGTTAGAGGGTGGTTAAGCTTCACCAGTGGCCTCCTTCCCGAGGCAATTCCCTGCTCTCCCCTGCTAGAGGGGCACCCTAAGCCATTCACCCCATCCGACGTCAGAGTGTACTCTTTGAGTTTGGCAACTCACCACCAGCATCCAACCAAATCTAGCGGATCAACGGCGCGTCAACTTAGTTCCTGGTCAGCTCGCGAGTTGATTTTATCACGTCCTACACCGTCCACAAGATGGGGGGCCACCTCCCATTTCATCACCTCTCAAACACCCCGAGAGGTCGGCAGGCGGAT